CTGCGCTCAGCCTGTTTGTAAAGCAGGTGAAGGCAGGTGGTAAGCGACGCATCAGCACTGGCTGCGGTGTCAAATGTCAGGAGCTGAAGTGTAACAGGGAAACTAGTGAGAAACACTCTTAATGTAATGCCAGCTGCAACTTTCAGGCGTACATTCAGTACTTTCAGGTGTACTGAATGTATATGCAGTGTTTAACCTAGAAAGCTCAGTGCAGTGCAAAATGTGCTTAGCTCAGGCTTGAATTTCTAACCTCAGTGTACTGAATGCCTCTTTGGGAGCCACCACTGACAGCCTCAGAGGGGAACAGACACTCCAGAAACTCCATCTGATTAAGGGAGACATCAGTGCTAAAGGTCCGTAGGTTGGATCCCTGACAGTGCTCATAGTTTATCTTCAGGCCCTGGCCCACAAACCTGCAAACATGAACCCACATCAAACATTAAACACTAAATCTGTCCTACAATACCCTTTAACACAACAGGATTTAGTGAAAAATAAAAGAGCACCTGAGATGATCATGGGGACAAGCATGGTTAAACACTGTCCGAGACTGAAGGAAAGCAGCTGGAGTGAGATGGCCCGGGCCCACCGTGCTGAAGAAGTGTGCAGCCATAGGGCCAAGGGGACTGGGAGCAGCATCTGGTGGTGGCAGCGGGTCGATGTGGAGGACTGAGACAGCCAGGCTACTGAGTGTCCACCTTAACACCAACTCTGGCCGTGACTCATCACCGTGGGTTTTGGATGGATGGGCTGAAATACAACAATGGCAGATATAAATACAGATTTTCACAGTGGTGAAATGATAACCATGTGCAACAGCGAGCCAAATAGTTGACACTGATTTCACTGATTATCATCCCTTCAACCACAGATCATGTAAGCTAAGCTGATGTTATCTATGCTTGGAATGAAAACATAAAAACTCCACCTCATGGCCCCAGAGGGACCAGTAAAGTACGTAAAAATATACTAATATCTCATGATACTTACAAGTCTGTCTTAGTAACTTTTGAGGGAATTGTAAATCCCGTGACTGGACGGGAGCTTCATTAGTCTGCTTCTCTCTTTGTCTTGGAACATCCATGTAATCATCCCACAGAGCCTAGGAACACAGATATACACAGCTATGATGCCAGACAATGTAAGAACAGCAGTTCATTTGGAATAATTTTACCAAACAAACTAAAATAGCAACAATGAAAATAGTCATTCATATACCTTCTAATTTTGTGAGTATAAAAATCTAAGTTTGTTGAACTGTAGTTTGCTGAGGATTTAAGATGGATGGAGTAACCAGACCACTCAGAACACTAAAGCTCACCTACATTATATTTCAATGAGTCTCGATGACTGCAGTCAAAGGGGTGAAAACTTACTGTTGCATTTCCAGAGGGAGATTCTCTGGGGGAGGCAGAATAGTTGCTATTTAGTGACAAATCCAAGTCCACCGTGGGTGGTTCACCCAGAGGAGGAAGGGATGACAAGCTGTGAGACATGTCCATGTCTGCCATGGAGAAGAATACATCATCTACACCACCCCCAGATATGTTAAAAATAAAATTAAAAAAGGAAGGGACAAAGAAAGAACAAATATCATTAGATTGATGCAACAATGAGATCTGATTTCTCAGAAAGGTCATGGGTTAGGGGATGATGATTCAGTCCAACCTCGACTAGACACAGTTCTGGTGGTCTGGCTCTCAAAGAGGTCAGGGTCTGCTCCTGGGACAGCGGTATCCTTCTTCAGACAGCGGTTTAGTTCCATATGCAGCCGATACTCATCCTCCTGCTGCATGGGTCGGCTCTTTCTATCCTTGGCCCATTCCTGTGTGCCTTCACACAAAGAATATGACATACTCTATTTACTCTATTTCTAAATAACTCATTTGGTGACATTGTTAACCTGTGTGATCAAAATGTTGTCTATCGTCTATCAACAGACGGGTGCTCACCTCCACCAGAGAACGCTCCAAACAAGTCCAGAAGAAGATGAACTTGCCGTGGGGACAGCAGAATAATAAGTGTATCAATATGTCCAACTACATCCAGCTGAAAAGCAAAGTGTGCAAAATACACTGGTTAAAAGCAATCAGCCCTAGTTCATTATATTGAGTAAGTAATTAGGAACCTTTTTGTAATTAAGAAATGGTTAATTTACCTTTGCTCCAGGCATAGCCAAGTTGTTTTTCAGAGTGAGGGACAACTCTATTTTACCACAGAGGCTCCCAACCTGCACAGGTTCAAAGGGTGCTGTAGAGGATACAGGCTCTGTGAACTGGGGATGAGGCTCACATATTATTTTGGGATTCCAGCTGGGGGAGAGCTTTGGCTCAGTTTCCTGCAAAATAAGGAGATATATTTTTCTAAAAGGCTTACACATACAACTCATTCATGCTGAATTTTAAAGACTCACTACACCGACCGTAGGAGTGGGGGAAGATTTACAACCAGCACGGGACACATCGGAAAACTCATCCCAAAACACGGTAATGCCTTCCATCTGCAAGTTTTTATGTGCAAATGTGGTTGGCTGATGCACATTAACATTTGAACTCTCCTCGCCTGTTTCATCGCAGTAAACAATCCTGAAACCAACCACAGAACGCAATTAGCTTGATCGACAGTATGAGAGTTAGTGAAAACTAATGCATCGCAATTACTACCTATTAGGGACATCTTTTATACAAGCCGCAGCCCATTTTAACTTTTTACAACCAATTTTTTTACGGCTCATTGTAGGATAACAAAAACCAAACAATTCCTATATTCAAGTGATCATACACTAAGGAAAACATAACTATGAATATTATATTTAATTTCTGACAATAGATCCTCCTAAATGTTACACACTGGACCTTTAAGAGAGGACATTCATAAAGGATGATGACTAGAACTCAACTAGATTCTGATGTTGAAAATATTAAGATTGTTTCAGAATGTCCTTTTGTCCTATTGACTGTCCAAACTTACTTATTGATTCGAATCTCAAGGGCGATTCCAGTTTTAGAATTTTCTGGAATGTGTTCGACTCTGAGAACAGTATCCAAAAATGTCACTTTCACTCTTCTCAGAACTGCAAGATAGAAAATTATAATAAATTACTTTACACAATGCTTTAGGTGGTACAGTTCTTAAAATGTAGTCTAATAGTATAGACTATTGTACCTGTTTCTATCGTTTCTGCAAACTTCTCTAATCCCTCAAAAGGCTGGAAGCTCTCTCCCATATCGTCGGTGAGTTTCTGGCTCAAACATTCTTTGGCAAGCTGCATGCTGCTCGTCATGAAACTGGACCAGTACATGGGCTCAGTGCCAGATGCTGGAAGAACAGCCAGTGGTGACAAAGTCATTTACTTTTCAGAAAAAAATTGTTGTCAACTTGTCAATGTGTACCTTGCTTTTTCACTGATGGTTTTGAAGTGGCACATAAAGCAGTCTCTCCTTACCTACTCTTGGTCTTGGTCTAAGAACCATCTCCAGACCCTTGACCTCTAGGGCACAGTTTTCCTGCAGCAGGGCTGCCCATGGGACAGTTAGAGAAATTGTCTGGATGAACCCTGCGATGACCTCAAAAGGGGCATCTGCCGTCTCTAGGAGCTCATTGAGTGACTGAGGAATAAGAAATAATGCTGAAGCTTTTGTCCATTTATGCAGATTCTGTGTATAAAATCAATAAATGTATCATGCTGAATTGACTGACACAACAGAAACACTACACATACCCATTTATCCAATGGCACTTGTGCAAGTGACCCAGTGCCTTGATAGAGGTCCAAACTGAGCTGATCCAAACTCAGCTTCTCCTGTAGAAAGTTGCCAAGGTACCGATGCAAGAGGTATCTGCAGGCCCGCTTCTTGATGGACTCCGAAAATGGCCAAGGCATCTTTAACTCAGTAGGTGAACAGTACACAGGTAATAAAAGGGATCTTGAGGCTCTGCAACTGGAATGCTATAGCTACTCAAACTAGCTCTCAAATAATCACTGGTGTTGCAACCGTGTCATCCTGTCGACTTAAAGACATTGAGAAACTGTGAGCTCAAACACCCTTCATATCCCAAGATTAGGGACACTTTGGAGGATGTGTTGACACTCAAGGATATGTGCAGGAATTGGTCTGACTCCAGTTTGCTGCGCCTATGGAAAGACACACAAATGGTGCCCCCTTTGAAATTTGACACTTGGCACAACATGAGACTTGACACAAACAACAAACTCAAATGATGCTGACTGTTTTTAAATTGTTCCTGTGAGGCATTATAATATAATGAGGAAAAAGAGACCAGATAACGTTAATGTTACTCTGAGCACACATTTGTCCCCCTTCTACAGACAGTGTAAACCAGCCAAACGCTCTTGCGAAATAACTATTAGCATGGCACAGACTTGCTAGTCAGCAGCTACCTTTAGCTATGTTTACTTAAACAGAGCTGTCATCGTAGTCAACACACGGGAGCTGAGCTTTGACTTCTGGCTAGACAAAGGCATGTCATTTAGCTTACCAGCCGGCTAGCAAGTGCAAGGCTAGCGCCGTTAGCTAGCCTGTGAACCAATCCTATAGGCAGTGAGGCAACATTAGCACAGCCGGCTAAGCTTATAGCGGTACGCGTTTTGCTAAGCTAGCTAACCTTAAAAAAAAAAAAAAAAAAAAAAATCAACATTTCTCAAGTTATCTACCCTCACGTGTGACCTGTACGGAGACACAAAGCACTGAACCGTACACACACCAGCGCCCAAATGCCGACATGCACTAGTTATTCAACGGAGTTAAAAGATATTAGTGCTCTTAAATTACCTTCTGACTGAGTTGTTTACAAACACTTTCATGACTCCGCACCGACTGAAGCCACACTCCGGGGGAGGGATTAGACAACGACGTCACAACATGGCGGACTTGCGTGGTGCACGGGGGCAGATATCGGGTCAGGATTTATTTTAACTAGTTATTTAGACGGGAAAAAAAGAAAAAAAAAGCAGATACTCCAGCAACAGGGCGCGGTGTGCTTTGATGTCACTCTGGTCTGTGGCTGTCCTCACGTTTGAGCCTCCACGGTTATCTATCGGACGCTCATTTGACTGAACCTTGTCCACGGAGAGATCCGAGTGGGCTGGAAGCTTCCACACGCCGGAAGAACACAAACAGCGAGGAGGTGAGAAAAATGAACGCAGTTTGATTAGAAATTATTATCCTAACATAGCCGGATCAAACGTGTGAAACGTATAATGCTTTTTAATTTGGTGCAGTAATCGTGTTTCAGATATAAAGTGGGTGAAATGCGCACGCACAGAGAGGTGAATGGTTTGGCTATCGTTAACCGGTGGAGTAGGAGGCTTAGTTGTCCCAGAGTTTATCCCAAATATGTAGAAAATGTAAGCCATCTAACTGCGCAACAACAGAGCAGTCTAGCTAACTACCGGTATATGAATTAAACTGAATTATAACATTTGCATGGAAGTCACACACTGATACAATACTAACTATGATGTCAGTAATAATTATTTTTTGCCTCAGCCGGCTTCTCAGGTTCCTCAAGATGTCGCTGTGATGTTGTTTTTTTAAAATTGTAGAAATGAAAATAGAAGTTACAGTGACGTTATTACATGAGTTGTGGACGGTATTTATACAATACAGCACATTATATTCAACTACATTTCCATGAGAGCTGTAATTAATTGTAACATTACACATTAAAACTGATAATCATCTCAAAATATGACGCATATTGGATACAATATTTTAAATCAGCTCCATCTCAAACCAACTATTTTCAGTTCTAGTCAGAATACTTCAAGATACCTCATTTACACACAAAAGAAACCCCATGTACATCTTCCTCCACCACTGAATGAATGAAGGTGCCAGTAGGTCAACTATTGTTTAATCTGTACATATGTTGATTAGCCCAGTATAGCATTAAGGTTTCAGTCTAGAACAAATACAAATGTCTGTTTATATCTCTTATTAATTTGATCTGTCAAATCTATTTGTAAAAATGGTGGGGAAAAGTGGGATTTTGCGGTGGTTCAGTCAATTTAGAGTCAGTCTACTCTTACTGGGACCGACTGGGTTTGATATTCGATTACAAATGAACAAACCATAATAATACTTTCTCCTCCCATAAAAATGATGTGTGTTGACCGTCCATCGGATAGAGGTCATCGAGGTGGAAGGAACAGGTTAAGTAAAGCTTGCTGCATGTTTCACAATCAGCAGTTCAATTAAAAATGGCTCATTGCCCTTTAAGGCCTCCATCCAACAGAATGAACAATGACGAAGCCAAATGTGAAGCAACTGGCTACAGCTGACATGCAGGGAAAAAGTCTCGTATAGGAATGCACAACAGAATGCTGCTTGAAATGAGTGACGCAGTATCTGAATGACCGAAACTTAGCAGGATATATATTTGTTTTTTTGTTTTTCTCAGCAGAATAATATGCTGTACCACGTGACTGATTAGCAGTTCCGCAAACTGGAATTCACTTTACCACAGCGGTGCACTCAGACATCAGCTCTCAATTGCTTTAAGCATTTTTAAGTTTAAACAAAAAGAAATGTGCCAACAAAGCCTCAGGAGCCACAAGAGACAACATTAGTCTTCATCTCCAAGAAAACAATGGACCTTTTGGGAGATTCAGTGCCCTGATGTATTACAGATCAACCAAATAGAGGCCAGCTTTGAGCTTTGCATAGAGGACGAAGGAAGTGAATAAAGTATTTTTCACATCTATGTTGAATACTGATAATGAGTTGAGAAATACCCTTTAATCTGTCTCATACTTGTGTAATGTTGTCTTACTTACATTATTTAATCAGGAAGTTAATTGGTTTAACCTTTCCTCACACAATCAACCTCTGTGTGACAGTTGACAGAAGTCATATGTTAAAGATAGTCCACTGTGCATTTAAAAAAAAGAAATCACAGAACAGCCAGACACATGTTTGTTTCAGTTCTGCTTTTTTTCTGGAGAGAATGGGTCTCATCATTTTGTGATACATGATCACTGCAGCTGAATCACACGCCTGCTGCCTAAAACATAAAGACAAATACATATTTTTTAAAGGTTTATGACCAGATATTACAGGTTAAATGTAAAATACATTCCCTTACATACATAATACTTAACAGGAGTGTCAGTATACAGTAGCTTGTTGCAATGACAGTCCGAGTTAACTTCAGAGTTTCTGAAGTGGTCTCAGTTACTATGGAGATGGAGAACTCTATTGTTGTGCCAATCAGCAAGTTTCAGTAGCATCCAGCAACATCTGGGCTTCAGCTGAGTCACTACCGTTGTTGCTTTGTTATAGGGGATGGAGGTAGACTGCCAGCCCGAGGAATCCATCGTCTCCTCATTTGACGAGGACTGCGTTGTGCTTGGTGACGTCAAGGACATGAGATTGGAGGCAGAAGCAGTCGTCAATGACGTACTTTTTGCTGTCGCCGAAATGCACGTATCTCAAAGTCTCGACAGTGCGTCAGATATGGCCTACATAAACGTGGAAACAAGAGAGGGAAACCGGTATTGTCTGGAGCTCACAGAGGCAGGACTACGGGTAAGACACATTGGTTTCTTGTTTTATTATTTTTGTTTCAGACACCAAACCAGGCTAAGTTTGACAATCTCTCACTCTACCAAACAGGTGGTGGGCTATGCCTTCAATCAAGTGGAGGAGGATTTGGGCACCCAGTATCATGAAACTGTTTACTCGCTTCTGGACAAGCTGAGTCCGGGTTACAGAGAAGCCTTTGGGAATGCTTTGCTGCAGCGGCTGGAGAGGCTGAAGCAAAATGGACAATAAAAAAAAAACAGGACCAAGATGCTGCACACGTTGTTCAAGTGGAATAGAGGTTGATGATGTGGGTGTATGTGGATATGAGCCAATAATAAAGTGGTCAAGTCTGGTCAAATATTATAGCCTATTATGTGACGTCCACCTGCCTAGCTACCACTACAATAAGGGTTACTCTGCCATATCAACTGTGCTTTGTTCCGACTTTCATATCATTGAATGACTTCATGTTAGTTACTTAAGTTTAGTGACTGCTAGGGTTTGGCTGTATGGGCTCTGTCGCAACAATCATGTTGTTGACTTTACTGTGGAAAGATCTTCCAGCTTCTGCATGTTACAAATTTGTAACTGCACATTGAGAATTCTTCACCTTTTGTACTCATCAAAGTGATCTGAGAAAGAAGCAAGTTATGTGAATTATTGATCCCATTTGCCCCTCTGCCTTGCTTACACTAAAGCTGTGACCTGATAACTGATCAAATATACTCAACTAGTTCTTATTCAGCAGGTGTCTCAGTGAAAGAGCCAAAGCTATATTCTTTGTGTAACTCATATACTGCCTTAACGACTGACTTTTGGTTAGAGTACAAGTACAAAGTACAAAAAAACATCTCATTAAATAGTTTATTTTGTATTGACAGATATGGTATTCTGTGGGACTGTCATTTCAAATGGAAAACAATTCAAACTAATTTGAAATTTCTTGTCAAACTAAGCCAGCTCTGTATTCAATACCAATTATCAAGTTAATTGTGTTGTGATGATTTTCTTTCTCCATACAGCACAGTGCAACTCAACCTTGCATTTCTAACATTTGCTGTAAAAGTAAATAAGCCATCTTTATGGAGGTTTAAGTGTGTTAAATCTTTTTGTAGTGGTCATGTCTTCACAGTGTTGCTTCATTTTATCTGAATACATAGTTTCTTGGACTTCAGAAGCTGCTTTTAAATGCTGTTGTACATTTGGCCTGGTTATAAACCTACTTCAGTGTTAGGAAACCTACTTTATGAAAACCCTGTTCCCTTTGCATTCATACTGTTCCTCGCTGCTGGCCTTTGCGCAGACCAATAAATTCTCAGAATTGTCTCAAGTCTTCATTTTTACTTTGTTTAACAAGCTACAAATGTCTGATGAGACAAGTACAGAAGTCCAAGGTGAAAGGTTTTGAAACTGATGTTCAGTCTTGTATGCCAACTTTCTTTGATACAAGGAAAAGTTTCCCCCACTGCTGCTCAGCCAGTGACTGCAACATCTAGTGCTGCTTCTTGGGGAAATCAAATAAAGTTTGCCTAGTTAACATGTGTCTGACAAGTAAATATGATAAGTTGAAAATTTTCCACAGTACTTTTAGCATAAATATTTCTAAAATGAAAAAGTTGACATCAGATTCACACACTATGCAACTTGAGTACATATTAGATTTTTATTAGAATTTAATTTTTGTATTCCAATTCCACTCATCCTACAGTAGTACATGGTCAGTAACAAATATTACAAAAGTTTGTAAAGCAGTAGCTATACTACGTGTCTTTCAGACTACACAGCAGCCAGTAAGACAATCCATCTGCACTGTAGTGGAATGTAGTTCAGGGTCATTCACACAAACATTAACCGCATTACTCCACAACTCTTAAAATTGACTGTTAGGAAGATCTTAGCATAAATTTATTTTCAAGAGGATTCAAGGTGTGCGGGTGCGGCAACGTCTTGCAAAACCGGAGAAAGAGACATGCATCTTAAAATCAATTTGATGAATGAATAAAATGAGATCTTAACTAGAGCCATTTACATTCTTTAGGTTTTTACTCAAAGCTGAATCCCTTTAAAAATACAACACTTGTCTGAGGTACTGTTGCTAGTTTAGCTCACAATCTGAACTGGGAACCTAATGCAGAACAAGTCCTTCTTGTTGTCATCTCTCAGTTCCCACTCCACAACCAGCTTTATCTAGAAATGCAGAAGAGTGGTTAGTAAACAAGATGTACCTTGTATCTTGCATTTAACAAAAAAAAAAAAAAAAAACACCTCATTTGAGGAAGTGAAACATGTTGAAAACAAAACCACAGAAACAAAACTACTGATTAAATATTTCGGGACATGCAGCACATACATTAATTTGGTTACATTAAAAGAAAGTCAAGCATGTTTGTTACTTACTGCGGGATACTCAGTCTTCACAGGAAGAGCGTTCACATAATGATACTTCTGCTGCTTCTGGATGGGACACTGTATTCCAGACTTGCAGCCGTCTTCTATTGGAATAGGGAAAGGGATGGGAACGCCAGCAATAACGCCGTGAACCACTGCCGTGCTTGTCTCGCTCTCCACAGCTACAACAGATAACATGGCCGTGAGATCAACAGTTTAAAAATCTGATGTTACATTCCCACTGTTCAGAGTATTCGTGAAAGATAACAGCCCTCCCTTACCGCTGCTGAACGTCACATTGACACTGTACGACTCTCCTTTGTGTAGCTGGCATGGCTGACTGGCACAAGGGTGAATGTCCACCATGGACACTTTGCCAGTAGAGGAGCCTGAAGAGAAACATGGGGAGAAGAAAAAAAACAATGTCTTAAAAAAAAAAAAAAAAAAGCATACCATACCTTCATAACACAAATCCCAATACTTCTGTTTATTAAATCACTTAAAATGATAAAAATCTTTGACCAAGACATCAATATAACTGGTTGCTAAGTATCTAGTATCTTCTGGGGCTGTGCAGGAAGCTTTCAAGTCTGAAAAAAATAACCCTGATGATGTCTAATCAAAGACAGTGGGTTGCAGTATGGGAAATGTAGGATGCAATTTTGACTTAAATAAAATAAATCTCAGTCTCAAGCCCCTCAACTTTTTACAAGTACTTTATAAAAATCACTTCCAGGTAGAGTGTAGTTTCTGACCACTCCAGAAACTCCTTAACAAAAGACTGATAACCCACCAAGATGAGCACATGGAGTTAATGTGAAGTGCATTTGTTAAGGACAGGTGATGCGAGAATTAAAAAAGGTGCCATTTAGTGGTGAGATAGTGTCGACAATTTTGAAAAACAATTAACGTGTAAAACCCCCCCAAATATTTACAACTTCCTACTCATCAAATTAAGGCTTTTTCTGTTTTATATAACTGAATATTTGGAGATTATGGACTAGTGTTCAGACCAAACAATTCATCAGCTTGCTTTGTGAAACTGACGGTGATTTGACTTTTTCTTTTAGATTCAGTTACGATGTTTACCTCTACAAGTCAGCACAATAAAGCAGAGTGTCTGTTCAACATACAATACACAAGTAAATCTTTTAAAGACGGTTCAAGTGAAACTTACCGCAGTCAATGAATTTCACCGGCTCCGCACAGGTGAAACTCATCAGGCAGAACAAAACGATGAAACCAGTCCGGATGTCCATGACTCTGTCTTTCTGTGACCCTAAAAAAAAAAAACGAGGAAACCTCCATTACACAACAGATAAGAGAAACGTTTTGGGACTAGTTTGACTTCCGAGCGGTCAGCAGAAACTGTTCAATCATATGACTTGTTGTTTGTTTCTCCACCGTCCCGAGTGCGGCAGAGATTACAAAGTTTAACACAACCACCAACAACACCTTCCGACTACCTTGTACTATGGTAAACAGCACAAACACAGTGAGTCTTATAGTAGTATAGCGCACATTAGTATTAAAAACCCTCTAAATGAACATACTGTACTTCTTCTTCTGTCAGGCCCCGAAATGAGTCAGGTAGCGCCTGGCACCTTTTTATTTCCTTGTATCACGAGATCGACGTTAACGCCCATTTAAAAGCACGATTAGGGGTTTTATTCGCCCGAAATTTTGTCTGCTAGCAAATCCGCTGAGTGTAAAAGACCTTGCCTCCTGCGCTGTAATTGGCAGATTATACCCTCTAGCAGAAAACAACCCCGGTCATATGTGAGCTAAACCTCAATGTAAACATTTGATTGGTGGATGTTATTGGGGAGGGCACACATAAAAAAATATCGTGAACCTGACAAGGCAAAACCAAGGTATTAAACTCCTCCGTACATCCGGGGCAACGTAGAACTCCATTAAGATTGACAGGTAAACGGACGAATCAAACGGCCGTATTCTACCAAATCTGGGGTACGTGTATTTGACAACCGTTTTAGCCAATCAGGGTGCGTTCTGTCTCTCGTCGACGTTCGGGGGCGGGACTTACTAACATTTGTTTTGAAAGATGTCATTGGTGAGAGGAGCTATGATAACTGCGTCGAAGTCAAAAGTATTGAGCCTTGCCAGGTAACTTTAATTTTCTCTATATCATTTGAGATCTCACTGATGCTAACCGTAACCTGTAAACAATCTTTCTAGTGGAAAAATTAGCTGTGCGTTGAGTTTGTTTGCCGGGAAGCTAGTTAGCAAGCTAGCCACCGTTAGGAAACTAACGTTAAGGTTAGCTAGCAGTAGGGGCAGTAAAAGTCCTACTTTCATACGATCGGATCTTAACATTACGTCCATGTTTTGCAGGGCATCTACTGTTCTGAATAACCTCAATGTGAGCCAACAGTTACACCGGGTTCCTCAAAACCCTCTACCCCGGTACACAGCGGGGCTTCCGCGCTTCAGCAGTGCCACAGCCCGGGAGCAGCCAGCGGTGTCGGGTCCATCTGAAGATAAAGTGTACCTCACGGAGTCATGCGTGAAGGTCAGCAGATACCCACCATTTAAGCATCTTACGCTTCTCATGTCTGAAAATCCAAATTAGTAGAAAGCCATACACACGAAGCTGCTTTACCGTTATCTGTATATTCTTGGGATGGTGTTGATATTTGTGTAAAACCTCAAAACAAAATCCCTCATGTGAGCCAGTGTTGACAGTGGAGCAGATACATTATCATCATGTTATGTTAAAGCTCAATCCATGCTTTGCACCCTCATTCACAATTCTCATGTCCCCCTTTTAATCCAGAGACTAGGGGAAATCATGGGGAAGGGCGAGTACCTCAGAATACATGTGGAAGGAGGAGGCTGCTCCGGGTTTCAGTACAAGTTTGCTGTTGTTAGTAACAAGACTGAAGAAGACAGGTAAACTGCCAATAAGTTATTGTTTTACACTTGCCTCACTGTTTTTTCTGATGTCTGTTAATCTAATCTAATCTAATCTAATCTAATCTGCATCCACTCTGCTTTTAGAGTGTTTGAGCAAGAAGGAGTGGGCATTATCGTGGATCAGGACAGCCTGGAGTTTGTGAAAGGAGCCACTGTGGACTTCACCCAGGAGCTGATCCGCTCCACCTTCCTAGTGTTGAAGAATCCCCAAGCTGATCATGGCTGCTCCTGTGGCAGCTCCTTCTCTGTCAAACTATGAGCCCCTCTGTGTCAGTATTAGTTAATACCCTGATTTACCAATTTATTAGAATATAAGAGTACAATCTTAATATATAGAATAATGATTACCGTAAAGGCTCTACAACACCTCTCTGACCAAAAAATATATCATAAGCTTCACAAAGATATAATTAATTGCAGGGTTGTTATACGCTTTGACAGTGTACCTAATGAACTGGTAACTCAGGGTATTATATTGGACACCAATATTTTGATTTCATAATTCAATTCACTAATAACACAGCTAGTGACACAGTGACAATGTTAGATAATCTTTTCCCCTGAAAAATGTGTTTTTATTTTAGGTGTCAAACTACTTGAACTGAATGAAAAGCAAAGGTATCAATTAATCATTGCATTATTTTGCATATAGTGACAGTCAGGAAAGCTTGTTGACAGCTGAGTTCATCAACTGTAATTTGTCATTAATTCAAACAAAACAAAGGTGTATGCAGTGCTTAGATTTACCTTTGTGTGTAAAATATGTAAATAGGCCATATCTATGAAGAGCTAAGCTTTATTATATTTGTGTCATCTAAAATAAAATGGAGTGAATTTCAGATGTTTATTTCTTCAGTCATTTCAATGTATTGTATGCAAATTAGTGTTTTGATGTAAGTGAGGTTGATTTTTATTAAGTTAATTGTACTCACATTATGCACTTCATTACATTATAATGATGAAAAGCCCAGGCAGGAAATGTTTATATTTATTGATAAAAG